AGCCTGAATATATCCCCTGCTGCAAGTGGGTCTCCAAAGGGCTGTTACTGGTGTGAGTAAATACGGCAGAATAACCCCTCTTTATTTTTGCATACTCCATCTCTCAAATCTTTAAAGTTGGAATCTGCAATTTCCAACCCAGCTGGCTCTCATGCTTTTCTTGAAGAGACTTTTGCCAAAATACCAACAATGGCCTCAACTGTTTGTTGGTTTGGCACAGCTGTGTTCACAGTGGTCTTCACAAAACAACTGCAATATTTAGAGAAATGCACAAGAAATCTGAGACTGTCAATTGTTAAATATTTTTGCACAATGCATGACATTAAAAAGATTTTCCTCTGTTTTTTCTGTTTAGCAACTGTGGGAATTTCCAGTCTTAAGTGACAGTTTCTCTTATTACCATGTGGAAAAAAAATATAATTTTGTTAGTCAGCAAAGCCAGTTAAAACTCCTATTTTAGTTGTTTTAACAATAGAAAAATTATTTTGGTCAGCCCTGCAGTTTCATAGAAACTAAAGAGGACTTTCTTATTGCAAAACTGCAAGGTCATTCGAGTGGAAAGCAGCCTGATCCCGTGTAGCCAAGCTGGACTTGCAACTAAAGGAAAAAAAGAAGAAATCGTACATAGCAGGGGTGCTCACACCCAGCCAAAATATGTTTGCCCCAAAACTTCCTCTTCTTGACACTATTGCTGTCCTCCTGCAAGCCTCAGGCCTCTCTCATCTTGTTTGTATTTCAGCATCCCTGGGACCAAGTGCGGACCGATCCCTCCCGAGCACTGCGGGCCGGGAGCTTTCCCTTCCAGAGGGTCTGGCTCCCTTTGTGCAGAACGAAGCCTGGCTGGATTGCTCCTACCAAGAGAGATTCTGCACCCAGCTGGGACAGTTCCCCCTCCTAAAGGCCCTTTTCGCTGAACATCGTGCTCCCACTCTGCCCTGCAGGTACTTATCCTGCTTTTGACAGCCCCCTCAAGCCGTGCCAAGCTGCCCTGACTGGGCATCCTCGCCTGTGCAAACAGGGGAAAAGTCATTAGCTTCCTAGGCACTCCTCAGTCTGGCTAATTAGGCTCGTTCCACAGACTGGAGGACTGTTAATTGGTCATTTCTAATCAGCCTCTGCCAGGGGAGGACTTAGTAACGATACGACATAAAATCAGAACCTTATCCTAGGTTTGGGGTGTTTGCAGCTGTAACTGCTGCAACAAGCTGGAACAGAATGGCAAGTTATTTAAAAGAAATATTTTAAATACGTGGAAAGGTCACTTGAAGGAATTTGACTGAACTGTAAGCTGCCACTCCAGGGAATAGAAGGAAAATGACCTCCTTTGCTATGGAGACTGAAATATTGCCAAGCCCTGAAATATTCAGATGATTGGTCAGCTGCCAAAAACTTGCTATTCATGAAATGCCTGGTGTATACAAGCTTGTAGGGCTATTACAGATCTTAATGAGCTACAATGGAGACTTCTGCTTTACAAAAGGCAGAGGCAGCAGCTTGTCCTACCAGATCCTCTGTTTCTGGCCTGTTCCACAAGCATGGGACCAGAGAGCCGAGTGCCTTCCTCTGGTGGGAGCGATGGGCTGGCTCAAAGCGAGGTGCTTGCCATGCAGGGAAGCTGTTTGCCACGAAGCTCCTTAGATGACTTGATTAAATCTTTGCCTGAGCCCCCACAGCCCTGGAGTCATCCTTGTTCAAAGCCATTCTTTGGCCTCTCAGTTTGGAATTGGTGATCAATGCAGCCCCAGCGTCTGTCGATCCCCAACCCCAGCTCTCCTGCTTCTGCACGTCTGAAAGAGGCTGCAAAGCACTTGATGAGATGGGGACTCATGCCCTGCTGCTCTTTCTCTCTCCACCTCCGTGCTCTACCAGCAATAATTGCAAGGCAGGCACTGCTAATCAGCCACTCGCTTTCCAGAAACCAGGCTCTGCTCCATGAATTCCCACTCACACGCTCTGTCGTCACCCAGAGCTGAAAAACTGCTTTTGTTTTTGGCTTTTCATACAAGTTTGAGCTGTTTCTCTTTAAGAATTCAAATTTTAAAACTTCAGTTTTCCGGCATGAAATTGAGAAATGCAGGTGAGTCCCTATCAGATGTTCAAACCATTCCAGTCTCACTATTGAGAAGTCCTTGCCTGAATTTTTGCTGTTTTCTGATCAATAAACTAATTCTGAAAAAGCCAGAAAGCTATCTGATAGTTATATTAGGAAGTTTGATGATTCTTTTTTATTATTATTATTTGAGAAGGAAACCAAATGGCAGCTTGAGGCTTTCAGGGACTGAAGGCTGTCTTTACCAAAAGGGCTACTGATTTTTTTGTTCTTCATTTCTAGTTTTCACAAGAATTAGATGTTGTTCTCAGCAGGCTGCATGAATTTGCAGAGCTCCCAGCAAAATCAAATAAAGAAAGAAAAAGCTATTCTTCATACAACTTAGTAGTTTCTAGCATAATCCTTGCCAAAAAGTTGGAAAACAATATAAAATTTAATAAGAATTTATTGAACTGTGTAGGAGGAATGAAGTACCTCCAGAATTATATTATATCAGACTGTTTCACCAAAGGAACATCAATTTGTAAGCATAAAATTCATAGAAAAAAAACCCTTAGCTTGCTTAAAATGCTCTGAAAATGTTTCAGTGAACTTTCCCATGAGTCCTGTGTGCTGCACATCTGCTTTGTAATGTCCATTCTAGGGGCTAAAATCTGCTTTCTTCTATTGTTTTAAATACATCTTTGTATATTATTGGCCACTAACAGAGCAATTGGCTGCTCTGGTTTGCTGCAAGGGAGTAAAACTTGTGGGGGAGTGTAATTCCAGTTTTCCAAGCAGGGATGACTTTGCAGGGCTTTGAGCCACCTGGTTTGGTGGGAGGTGTCCCTGCCCATGGCAGAGGGTTGGAACCAGGTGATCTTTAAGGCCCCTTCCGACCCAAAGTGCTCTGTGATTTTATGAAATAATTGTCAATATTTATTTAGAGTAGGTCTCAAGCCACTAGGGCTTCATCCCGGATTTTTATGGGTGGATTATTAGTTCAATCTGCTGAAAAAGGTGCTGTGTATTTGTGATTAAATTCTGCCCAAACAGCATATTCAGGTACCTGAATTTGTGCTGTAAAGCCGCAGCAGAAAGTCCCTCAGAGATACCACAGGGTTCACTTGTTGCCTTCACCTCACTGCATTTCTTTTCCCGGTTCTGTGACACTTTTCCTTTGAAGGCAGCAACTCAAATTAAGCTGTTTTGAAGGCTGGCTTTCACAGCTGCCTGGCCTGATGCTAATTTTGGAACAGAGCAGGCCGAGAGGTCAGAACCGCCCCTCCATCCCTGCATCCCTCCCTGCATCCCTCGCTGCTCAGAGGGATGCGCCGGGCTCCGGCTGACCCCTAGTGGTAATGGGGGATGCCGGAGCCAGCCCTGGAGGCTGCCTGCAGCTTGGAGGGGCAGCTCCATCCTTCCCGAGCATTGCAGCGTGCCTTGCTGCTAAGAAACCCTCCAAGAGGGGAGGAAAAAGGTACCTGTGTTCAGGTTTTATATGAACAGGATACAGGTTATGCCGTGGGAGACTCCAAGCATCTCTCCTGAGGTGTTATGGGGCAGCACTGGAAGTGAAACAGGATGTATGGGATGTGGGGTGAGAGTGTGAAATGGTGTGGTTTTCCTCTGGGCAGGGAAAACCCATGGTCAGCAGGTGTAAGGAGGATAGGTTTCCTGTAGGTTGCTCTTCCCCCCAGAAAGCCACTGCAGATAATTAATGAGCACAAGGAAACAGTGCTGAGCTGGTGATGAGATGAACCTGCCGATGGTTTAAAGCTAGAAGAGAAGAGATTGAGATCAGATGTCAAGAAGAAACTCTTCCCTGTGAGGGTGGTGAGGCCCTGGCACAGGTTGCCCAGAGAAGCTGTGGCTGCCCCATCCCTGGAAATGTTCAAGGCCAGGTTGGATGGAGCAACCTGGTTGAGTGGAAAAGGTCCATGGCAGAGGATGGGAATGAGACAATATTAAATGTTCCTTCCAACCCAAAGTATTCTGTGAGCTACAGCCCTCGGTGTGCTGCTGTTCTTTAAGGTTTATATCCTACCTAAATGTATTCTCTTTCAGTTTAGGGCCATTCCCCCTTTTCCTATGGCCAATTAGGGGTCTTCTCCAACCCAAATGATTCTGTGAAAAATAGGACTTGCACATTCCCACTGGCCCAGCTCCTGGTGGCTTCATGCCCTCAGAAGGGCACAAGGAGAAAAAGGCTGTGTCTCTGCATCCACAGGCACAAAGGGAAAAGCACCACAAGAAAGGCAGCTTGGAAATGTGAACGTTGTCTCTGAAGCTGTGGAAACATTTTGGTTTCTGCTGGAAGCATCTGAACAGCTCAAAGTCAACCCCAGCCCCGAAATGAGCTGTGAATTTGGGCATGAACCAACCTGAGTAAATGTAGTTCCTCATCGTCCCAAATATGGGAAATCTGCCCCTTTGTTGCTTTCACAAAGAGCCTCTGGGTTTAAGAGGGAAAAAAAATATTTGGGAGATGCACTCAGAGGCCAGGAAGAAAAGAAGTGAAGGGAGAGTGGAAAATAAAAATCCCCCATCTGTAACTTTTGTCTTTGACAAGTACAGTCAGCAAATACCCTCTAGCAAATCTTTGACATGCAACTTTTTATCATCAAGATAATTACTCTGTTCTGAAAATCTCCTCTCTTTCTGAGGATATGTCTATTTAAAGTGATGATGTTGAGAGAAAATTAGTTCAAAACCTTTAATGTAACTACAATTAATAGGTGCATGTGAAGACTGCACAGCCATTAAAAGAGCAGTGTAAAGTTTCTGTTTGGATACTTTGGGACTGGTATAAAATGATGAAGCTATGTTTCAGATTTGGGGAAAAATGAAAATTTAGAACTTCTCTCTTGGTGCTTGGTTCTATTTAATTGCACAACAAAGTTGTTTTCAACTGGGACAGCCAACCACAGCAATAATAAACGGCTCCACTTGGGACTTTTGGGGCCAATTAAGATTTTAACATAAGTCATAAGAGGTTCAGTGGGGGGAAAGTCAGACCTCAGAAGCTGCCACCTTCTGCTGTCGGGGGAGAACTGGCAAAAGCTCACGTTTCTCATTTGGAGAGATTAGTTCATTCTGCCACACACAGGGCTCCTGAGGACTTCAGCTGCAGCTACCTGCACATAAAAGAGAGTGACTAATGTGGAGAAGGATTTAAATATCTAAGTCTCTTTAACATAATCTCCATTAATTTTTATGGATTAAGGAATTCTCTGTGTTAAAGCAGTCGCGGAGGCTTTTGAACTCCCGCTCTGCTAATTGGTGGAGAGAAAATAATTCCTTTGTATGTCCAGATAACTGTGGACTGCTAGAAAATTAAGAAATTACAGTAAAACCTCTGCCTGAGGTATTATTTACTGGCCTCTTTTGACAGATGTGTACTAAGCACTGAAGAATAAAGGGGGAAAATTACCTGGGAATTGTTGACAGGCATTTAACGTACAAATTATTCGATCGTGCCAGTGTGCCTGTTTGACGTGCTCAAAGGGTAATGAAATGCTGCTCAGTAACATCTCAGGGTACTGCAGGGGCTGGAAGTGTCCACAGACCCCTCTCCCTCTTCCCTAATTCCATTAAGTTCTTAAATGGTGAATTGGGAGATGATATCTAGTTTGCTTTGCTTTATCATGGCTGTGCTGCCGCTGCTGCCAACAGCGGCATGGAACAAATGCCGAGCCAGCAGCTGGCAGTCTCTCAGATCCATATGTTTTTATCTGTTTAAAAATAGCCACTCAGAATTCATGCTTTTCAGGAGCAGGAAGGTCCTCTTTCTGGGATTTGTTTAAGATACAGTGTATTTTTGTGGTAACCACACATTCTTTGTGCTGCTCTGCCTCTCCACTTGGAGCCTTCTGGCCCCTGTCTCTTGTCTACTGATGCGAATTTCACAGACATCTTATGGAGACACATCCTGCTTTTTTCTTAATGCTTTCACTTGGGATGAAATCCATTCCCACACAGAAGCTCTGCTGTCTAATTGATGCTTAAAGATCCCCTTAACAGGGAGTCCAACCATGCCTTGGCATGGAATAAATCCTCTGTCTCCACGGTTTTGCAGTGGACCTGGCAGTTCTGGGTTAATGATTGGGCTCAGGCTTAGAGGCCTTTTCCAACCTTAATTACTGAATCTGTGAATAGCACTGATCCTACTGCTCAGCCTTGGGAGATGCCACATGGACTCTGCAGCCCCTTCCTTCTAAACAGGACATTTTAAATTGATATTTTTGCACAGTGAAAGCTGTGCTTTCCCTGGAGGTCAAAAGTCAGAGTTGTTCCCATGAGTTGGTGCAGTGGTAGCAGAAAAGCATAGGAAAAATCCTTAATGCTTCTCCTCTGGTGCCTAGGGAACTTCAGGGGACAGGGGGTAGTCAGGTTCAGCACAACAAATCAGAATAAATTGTTGCTGTCTGAAACTACTGATGGCAAGCTGGACCCAGAAACTGGATATTTATCTCACAGTCACGTATGGATTATTAACACCATGTTTGAGTTTAATTAGTGGCTTTTTCTGTCAACTCTCTAATGAAGAACCATGATTTCTGCTTCCAGTTTTCTGGCACAGGCTGCTGCAGGGAAATAAGCAAAATAACAATGTGCTGTGACTCAACCTAGCAAGAAATGGCACAACTGACTACCACAAACATCTGTACCAAGGCTGTTACCTCTGTCTACTCTCAGCAACTACACTAATACCAGCATCATTTCCCATTTTCTGTGATTAAGTTTTCAAGACTTAAGCAAAATAAAGAAAACATAATTATTTATAAGAGCAGAAAATACCTTAAAAAAAAAAGAAACAACAAACCATGTTGTTCATGTTGACTAAATTACAGTCATCAGTTAAGCAGAATATTTTAACTATGTTAAATTATCTGTTGATTTTTGGTTGCAGATGATGTAGTTGCAAGCATTTCTGAATTTCCTGGGGTGAGAAAAGTTCAAATTAAGGGTCCCATAATGCCTCCCCTTTGCCATGCTTTGACTTTTTTCTCCCTGGCTTTTTGGGTAATGGTTTTTCTCCATTCATCCTTAGAACCCTTTTCAGAAATTCCCTTGTGGTCAAGTCAATACTTAAACTCTAAACAACACAATAGCCAGGCATGCATCTGCTTTATTAAATTAAAGCAGCTTTAATTTTGTCATAACATTTTTTCAAATGCAACTGTAGCCTCAAGCTCCACTCAATGAAGTCAGCCAAAATATTTTAATAGGGTTAGCAGCTTTGCTTCCATTGTCTTTAGCTGGCTTTGCACGAGCCTTGGGGTGGACAAGAGGTTAATAATGCATCAGCAGGGAGCTGGTACAACCTCCTAATGCAGTGCTCTTCTCCTGTATCTCACCCATGTTCAGTCTAAAACATTTTGAGGTTGATATTTCTGATGGACTCTTTCCCCAAAGCACAGAATGTGAAAAGCTGTTAATGTTCATCCAAGGAACAATCGAGAGCTTTCCCCTGAACTGCTGTAATGGCACCTCCAGGAGAACAAATTTTTGCACAGATAAACCAGACAACCTGAATGGAATTTGGAAAAAAAAGCCATAGGGAACATCAGGGAAGCTGGAAAGACTTACCAAGGCAGATTGTGATGGTTCAGAGGAGCAATAACTAAGGGAGGACACAATTACTCCATGAAGAGTAGAAGGAGATAAAGGCTGAGGAGGTAGAGCTTGTTGTAGGGGAACCAAGTCAAGGAAACAACACCCACCCTTGGGTTGTACCAGGGGTCACTTTTTTGGCACGAAGACTGAAAGGTGAGGTGAAAATATTTATGTGGAATTTGAACAGTTTACTGTGATCCAGAGGTTTAGGAGTTCACACAGAGAGTGTAAAGTTACATCAGAGCTATGCAAGGCACCGTAGCATTTGTCATCCTCTGTGACAAAGACTTTATGGGGGAAAATTTTATTCAAAACATGATGGCTTAGTCTGTGGGAAACATTATCTCTTATCTGTGAATTCACTGTTTCCTTCAGATGTTCTCTGGACTCTGCCATTTCATGGGGAAAAACCTCATTTCTGGTCACAAGAGAAGGTCTGGAGTTGGGGCCATGGGTCTGTTATGAAACAGCAGCCAGGTTCCTCTGATTTTCTTTTTTCCCCTGAAACTTTAGGCTTAGGATAAGAAATCAGTTTTTGATTTATGTGTTTATACCAAGCCTACACTTGCTGCTCAGTGGTGTTGAACTGCTGCGAGATGCAAAAATCTTTCAGTAATTTTAAGAAAATGCTGCAAGCCTGTGCTTTCTTTAAAAGCTATTTTTCTTCAGATTATAATTTTCTGCTTGACTTACTGAGAATCTGTAGTGAACAAGCTTTTTTTTCCCCTTCTAACTTCCTTAAAGGCTTAACTTTGAAAAATGCACGAAACTAGCTAGTGCCCCAGCTTCAATTTCCCTGTTTTACCTCAAAAATTACTGTAAATCTCTTCTAGTATTGTTCTGCATAAAAGATAAGTGCACATTAATAATGCAAGCTTAGAAACTTCCTGGATGTTGTAAAGAATAAGAACCTATTAAGGAAACAATGGCATTGTTTTCCTTTCATATTTCTTCCCCTTTCAATATCAACTATCATAAGCCATAAGAGACTCAAATAACAATTTTCACTCTCAATATACCTAGAGCAGCCGTGTTGAAGACCAAAAAACATAACATTAACTTCATTTTTTAACAGAAACAAGCCAGCTTGCAAACTGTGGTTGAAAATGCAAGTAGGAGCCCGCACCTGATGCTTAACCAGGTAGGTTTATACACAGAATTCCTGCTTTTCAGGTACAATTTCAGTGAACTGTGAACCACTGGCAATATGTTGGGTAGTTATATCAGTTTGGTTACTTTCTCATAACTGTTGAATTCATTTAAAATGAGAATTCCTGCCCCAGCTTCCCCCACTGCTGGGGGAAGCTTATCTCCCCCCAAGTAAGTTGATAAAAACAGCAGGCTACTGAAAGGAAACTCTTTTCCTCATGGTTCAACCCTGCAGTTGAGGGGGGGAATTCTTGGTTTATGGCAAATTTGGGAAATAAAATCAATCAATAATTAAAAATCCACCATCTAAATGCACACAGGAAGCTTGAAATGCTCTTGTTTCCCTTGGTGGAACTCTCTCTGTACCTCTAGGACAATTTTGCACAGTTTGTGTGTGTATCAAAGCTAATTTCAAATTAAAAAGCCCAAGTGGACAGTCTTAAAATTAATGTCATTTTGTATTTGGCTTCAAGTACTAGAGAAGAGTGGGTGCTTAGGAAAAGAAAAATCAGCACAATAATAAATGGGAAGGGAAAAACACTTGGGAAGGGATGTGTTAATCATGAATTTTTTTCCTATCTAGAGTTAAGATGCACTTTTGTCCCTGAGGATTAAAATAAAAGTGTTTAAGAAGGGAAGCAAAAATGAATACAAAATGCAAGTAGAGGGAAGCCTGCCCATGGGAATGGATTCTGCAGGAAGAAATGCACTGGGGTTGTAAATGAGCAGTTTTCAATAAAAAGGTGTGCCTATGGGATAGAAACAATCTGCTTAATCCAGGCCTTAAAAATTCCACTTATGGGTGGCTCTAAGAAGGTGACACCTGAGGTACCACTAGGGCAGGCAGTACCTGAGTATATTGTTACTGCTGTAGGAAGATAATTCACGTGTGCTGCAGCAACTATTTTTCTTTTAAACACAACACCTGGGTTCTCCCTGTGGAATTGCCATTATTTAGGTGCCAGGTGCTTATCTGTGGTCTGCCCACAGATGCACACAGACATGTAAGGAGTTATGCAAACACAGCTAATCAATTTACATTAAACAGCTGATCAATTTACATTAAACAGATGATCAATTTATATTAAACAGTTTTTCTTTTTATCTCCACAGCAAATAACTTAGGCATGTTTTTCACACATCAGATCTACTCTCATCTGTGGTTTTTCCCAATACTGACCTATTTTCCCCCCCGCAAAGAATAAGATCCAGTGGTCATTACCACTTTAAGCTTCTATTTCAAAACTATTTCTCTTCCCAGCATATGGGAAGCAGAGCATCCAAATGTTTGTTACACTGGAAGGCGAAACCCCACAGTTAGCACTCGTGGACTTGGAGTATTTCCATGAATCCTGCCTTCTGTGTTGCTCAAATACAGGTTTGGAAGCCCATCCTTTTAGAGATTAATAGTTTCAAGGATCTGACCAAGCAAACTGATTTTTGGCAGCGACACTGATAGGAGTTGTCCCTATAAATACTCAGGTTTAAAAATGAGTGAAATTAGTCACCAAAGAGAAAAGCCCTGTTGAGGTGACATCCACGTCTTCCTCCAAATGTGACTCTGGGACCAGCAGTGGCTCAAGCTGTTCGCCAGCTCTCACTCAGTACAGCCCCTGCAGGGTTCAATGTTACAGCTTCACCCAGTGCAGTGACACTCAGGGATGAAGACAGATTAGGGATGCATGTCTGGCCTTTCCATTTATTGGCTGTTCCTTCCAGGAGCCACAGCTCAAACACAAAACCTCTGCTTGTATCTGAAACCCGGCAAATGAATCCCGAATCCCAGGGAAATTAGTTAATGTAAACTACTAAGAGCAGAATTATTTGGCAGTTTCTAACCCTCTGGCCATCTATTAAATATGCATAAACAAAAGCTAAAGCACAGCAGTTCCAGATGTTTGTTTGTACTCAGCTGGGGGGAGAAGGATTTTCTGTTTGAAAAGAAATTAGAGGAAATTTTTGCTTTTGGAAGTCAGAAGCGAGTTTACTGTAACTATTCATTTTCATTCAAATGGAACTTAGTTGTGTTTGAACATTTGTTTCAGCAGGATGGAGCTGCAGCAACGCTGGTTTAAATGCAGTTTCGCTTGTGCTGGATTCAGGATAGGACTGGAGCAGAGCTGAATTTGCTTGGCTCTGAGTGCCACAGAATCACAGAACAGTTTGGGAGGGAAGGGACCTTAAAGCTCACCCGGTTCCAACCCCCCTGCCCTGGGCAGGAACATCTTCCACTATCCCAGTCTGCTCAGAACCCCATCCAACCTGGCCTTGAGCACTTCCAGGGATGGGGAATCCACGGCTTCTCTGGAGAACCTGTGCCAGTGCTGGGGAGAAGGTGCTGGAGAGCACCAGCAAAGCTGGAGGGGAGCTTGTGAGGGATTAAAATACTGGAGTGTGCATTGGAATGTATTTCTATCCAGGGAGCTGGTGAATATGAGGTTTTATATAAACTAAATTTATATAAACTCCACCTGCAGTTTAAATCTTTATATGACCTTTGACTATCACAAACACCCCAGTCTCTCTTTCTGCCTCTATAAATCCCGTGATGCAGTGCAGCTGTTTCATTCTGCTTTCCATGAACAGATAATTTCTGTGGATGGCCCTCATTAATTTGCAGAACCCCTGTTTAATTTGCAGAACCCCTGTTTAATGATGTCTGCACAGGAGTCAAAGCCTTTACATTCAGTAGAAACAGTGCTTTACAATCAAATCTTTGCAAAGCAAATAATAATAAAGCAATTTTTCAGCTATAAACTGAGAAGCAGACGATGGACTAAAAACAATTCCTCTATAGCTTTAATGCAGAAGAATTTAATTATTATATGAAGTTTTGTAAATAGATATATAGATATAGATATAGATATAGATAGATAGATAGATATGACTTCTGTTGCTGGAAACTGAAAGTTTAGGACTTTTTCAGAGGAAAAAATATCCTTTTGGCTTAAGTGTTTGCTTAACATCACATGAAATGTCTTTTTGGAATTAGGGCAGAGGTGGATAGGATAAAGGTTTTTCTTAGCAGTGAGAAACCAGTTGTTTGACTAGTGTTGAAACAGTCAAAGTTACTTTCTGTGATGTATCTATTGATGTTTGACTAATTCCCTCTTCTGTAGGCCTGAAGCCAACTTATTACAGGCCATAAATTACAAAATGTTTGCATTACCAATGCTGCCTGGATTAAAAATACCCAGGGGTTTTATTTATTCTGTAAAGCAGTGTATTATACCAGAAAATTTTAAGCCCTACTTAAGCATTACACTACAAAAAGAGCAGCTGATTTAAAAAAAGAAAATCAATTACTACATATTTTAAAAGGCAAGCTATTAGGGAGGAGAGAAAAAGGAAATTAAAAAAAAAGAAAGATACTTGTATGAAGAACCTGGGCCTCTTAATTTTTAAGCCAGGCAAGGAATACCACTTCCAGAGCAGCAGAGGAGCTGCAGGGACAGAGCCAAGGCTTGGATTGCCATCTAGCGGGGTCTGGTCACTGGGGACAGGCACAGGAGTTTCACATTTCAGGGGGATGCTGAAACGATCCTTTATACTTTGCACAGTCCCAAATTAGCTTCTTTTCAGCTCTCCTTTAAGCTGCCATCTGGCTTAAAGGCTGTGGTTTTCCTTGTGCAGGAGTAAAACTACATCACATTTTGGCTGGGTGTTGTAAGGCTGCTGTAGCACTGGAGGAGGAAACCTCGAGTCATTGCAAAGTCTGGCTGGCAGGGCTTCCACAGCAATCACCAAACCCTGCCATGTAAGGGAGAGTTCACTGCTCTGGTTACAAGCAAGTGAATGCAGGTTTCGAGTGGAATACAGCATTTATTCATTTGGAGTCGTTTTCCACGGCAGACCTTTAAAAAGACCCAGCAGTGCATGCTTGAGAGGGCTCCTGCTAGAATGTGAGTAGTATTTGGACTGGTTTATTTACCCTTCCCTTGGGCAGGCTCTCCAAAGACCAGGACGGCATCTTCTGGTTGCAGAGTATTCCAGAATGCTCGAGAAAAGCTTTTCCTGAGGTCCCACCTGGCTGATATTCCCATTCTGGGCACTAAACACAAATGTGTGATAAGAAAACACCTTGGACAGCATTTGAACTTGGTGGTTTGGTAATGCAATGGTAATTATGTCACTAACTGTGACTCCACTAGGTGGCACAGAAGTACTTTTTTTGGGATAAATTTAAGCATTGCCAGTGCAAGAAAATTTCCTTGAGGAATTCCAGCACGATCTGCCTTTTCCATTCCTTTGGAGTCTTCTCAGAGCATGAATATTGGGGGACTTTTGTATTGGGTATTAATAAAAACTCAGTCACTGGATTTGGGATTTTTATACCAGAGGGATCTTAAAAATACTGTGATGGCCTCGCCCAAAGGGCAAAAAGCAGAAAATAAGCTTACAGGATGAAATATTGGACAAAAATGAGGGAGCAAATTGTGGAGCCCTCTACCTTGATAGGGCAGGATAATGTGAAATTTCCTAGATGAGCTCCATCAATGCCTCATCCCAGCAGTGTGAACCTTGGCACATCCCCAGGGCTTTTACTCCACTCCTGATGCTGCAATGAAATGCGCCAGTGGTGGCTGAGCCAAAGAACAGGAATGCTTTTATGGAGCTGTATGGGCACTCTGCTAAGATTGCTCTTTTTTCCCATGCAGCTGCACAACAAAAATGTCCATCAAGTCCCTCTGCACTGGAACAAAGTTTTTTCACACTTTTTGAAAGTCTGGGGGGTTTTTTATTTCAATTTTTTTTCACTGAAAATCACTAACCTCAGAAACCAGATTTGTGGGGATGTTTGGTTTAAAATGGAAAAGCCTTCAAATTCTGTGCTCTGAGCAGAACAGGAATTTTGAGTTGGATGACAACAAACCTCAGCCAGCTCTGTGCAGCCCCCTAAGCTCTTTAATCAAGTGACAGGCCATCCTGGACTTTGGGGTAGAGTTTCCTATGGCAGACTAAGCACTCAATTAATTTTGTCATTTCCCTCTTCTCTTGAATTTCCCTTCCTCATACCCAAATTTTCATGGTCTCTGCATCCCTCTCACTTCCCTGTGGCTCCAGCTTTTGCTTAGTAGGGGTCATGGGCTCCAGCTGCCAAATGCCACACGAGGTTGCTAACTAGTAATTATTTGTGTTGGTTCTCACACTTTGGCAAAGCTACTTGGCAGGTCCCAGTAACCCAATCCTCCCCTTGGTTTATGGCTGGGAGAGAGTGGAAGCTGCCCACAGCTACATTTGCCATAAATACAACATCTATTAAGTCCTACTGAAGGACTTGGGCTGAAACCAGTGACTTTTTCTTCAATTACGCTCTTCTGGTCAAGAGGTGTAAAGGGGTGGAAGTTATAAACTTAGAAAGGGATGTCTGTCAGTCCCAGTGGTTGCCCGTGGTCATCTTCAAATAATGTTACTATTTTAATTCCTGTCTTGATGTATTGGAAAAATGTAGAGGTATATATTTCAGTAAAACTTTTATGTTCAGCCTGCATCTCCAAGGACTTTACTGCTCTGTAAAGCAGACTCTGTGATGTTGCAGAGTAATATTGCATGAGTTATCACAGTTAAAGGAGCTGAGCTGTGGGGTCTGAAGAGATGAACACCATAAAGTGAAGCACAGCTAGATGCTCAGACCCAAACTGTGGCTGCAACATGGTTGGTATCTGCTGTGAATAAGATGCTTCTTACAGTTATGAAAGAAATGATTCCTGTGAAGTACCTCTGAAGATGCAGAGAGATGCTTAATTTCCTGAGTCTGGGGTTTAGGTGCTCCTTTTCCCTTGCCCCAGGAATTTGGGACAGTTCTGGTGCCCCACTTTAACTGGGATCTGCAGCTACAGCCCCTTCCTGCCTGTCTGGAAGTGTCCTTCCCTCAGTGCTGTATCCATCAGTCACATGCACATGATGCCCATGGAGCAGGCTTGTCTTCTCCTTTTTTATGTTGTTATCTGAGAGATAAGCAGCTATGAATATCTGAGCACACTAAAACCAGTTCCAAGAAACACATGATTAATAACATTGGTGTTTTAATTAAGCAGCCACCTTAAGTTTTACGGCACCCGTGTGTCCTTGTGCGCGTTTGGGTATTTAGCAACACCTCTCTGTTATGTAATGCATCTTCTTTTGAAGGTGACATTTAAGAAATAACAAAATCATAAATATTAGAGTGACTTCAGATGGAAAAAATGTTCACCTCATTCCTTTGGCACAGTTTGTCCTCTCTCATGCTCCTCAAGCTTTATTGTATTTTATTGTTATGCCTGCCTTTTGCATCATATAGCTTCAGCTGTTTCAGAGGCTGCTTTTTCCCCAGATAAAAAGCAGCAGCTGTCTGATGGCAAGCACAGTGGTGGTACACACAAACCAAGAACATTTTATTCAGATAATAACACATTTTTTGGTTAAACTCTTTTTGAAACCCTTGAAAACATCCTGTTACATGTTGGGATAAAAGGCATAGCTGTGCCCTGGTGCAGAGCAGGAGGGGTCCTGCTGGTGGCTTGGGAGGTGGTGGATCTGGGCCAGATTCTCCTCTTTGTGTTTTGCTGCTGGGGAAAAAGCTTTTCCCAAGTTCAGTGCGGCAGCAGTGCAACAGGACAAACCCCTGACCCCATCCCATGAATTTGGGGGTGTTCAGGTACATCCCACAGGTGACAGGTGAGTGGCTTTTGCCTCCCTGAGGGTGTTTCTTGGTGGCAGATTTAAGGCAGACTGGTTGCCAGTGGGAGGTAGTTGATGGCAGGGCATCTAATTACAGGCTTTCCACTTTCCAGGGTAACCTGGAGTCACTCATAAACCTGTCAAAATTCCTCATGGACAGAAAACATGATGGAAAGCCGAGCTGACCCCTGTTTAGGGTTTGCAGGTAAATTTCTACCTTCCTTTCTCTGCTTTTGCTTAGCTTTAACCACCTTGAAATATATGTTTGGCAGAAAATTGTGCACTGCTGTAAGTACCAACAGGGAAAAGGGCATGTCAAGCAGGCTTCCAGCATAAGGGAAATATTTCATGCTGTTCTGGTGGTGCCAATAACTCCCCATATACAACAAGGCTAGAAAGCAGTTTTCAGCTCATGCCATGCCCTGATTCAAAACTGAGCATCTCAACTCCAAAACACTGAAGGCTTCCTAGATTTCACTCCTTTGGAACACTTTCATTTCTCCCTGGAGTCAGATTGAGAGGCTAATGTAATCAGGAGTTATTTAAGGAGGCAGGAGCAGGTAAGATCCCCCAGGTTTTTGAGACCTGCAGTGAAGGGTTGAGCCAGTGAGGTGCCTTAGCAAGCACAGGAAACCATAAATAGGCTCCTGGGGGGAAAGAGCATTAGAAATTAGGTTAAAGCAGCAACAATTAGAGATGGAAACCTGAGGAAACACTGCAGCACCACAGTCCTAGACAGGGAGGGTGGATTTTTTTCCCCATATCTCCATAAAGGACAACCCAAATGGGCAGCTACCCCAAGATGATGCTAAATACCAATCTCCCTGCCCAATGGCCATGAATACATCCCCAAAAGACAACAAGTGCTCCTCAAATCCAGCTACCACACATCCAGACCAGGGCTGCAAAACTGTGAAAGCAGAGGGGGATGATAATTTTCACAGAAATCTCTCACAGGTGTATCTCAGTACTGATACTGGGATTTTTCTGATGGTGTCACAAGAGCAGCACAGAACTGACTGATGTGTTTTCTCCCAGAAGAGCACAGCTTTAAGTGCAAACTAGGAATTCCTCATTCATTACAAAACTTGCTCCAGGACATGGGATACCATCTCCTCTGCGTAGGTGTGAGAATAGAAAGGGATCAGGAAGGAACTAATGAAATGCAGGGGCTAAAAATAACCATATGGCTTTTCTCACACCAGACTTTAAAGCTTTCATCTCTTTTTGCCTTTGTTTCAGCAGAAGGGAGATCTCCAGCACAGCTCTTGATATTTAGCTATAGGCCTGACATGAATGAGGCTTTCTAAGTTTGTGTGTGTTAGCAATAAATAAAAAAGGATACAAATTTTAGCATCCTATAGCTCATGTGCCTTCTTGTGGTTTTCAACAGAGCAAAATATTCCTCCCTTTGGGAAATCTAACAAGAGATTTTAAACACTTCCTTGCATTAGTTGCTCTGATACAACAGCTTCTCACTCAGTATTGTGCGATTGCGACACCTGATCCTGACCTAAAGCAGAAATAGGAATAATGAAAAAGAAAATATTCACTTGGCCACAGCATTAGAATCAAAATCAACCTCTTTGTGGGTCAATTCTTCATTTTGAGGGGGAGCTGTGCTTGAACCCTCACCTCGACAATGAAGGGTGAAGTCATCCTGATACTGTCAAAAGGAAAAGAACCTTTATCCAATGTCTCTGTGATTTGTTTTAGTCCCCAGGAAGTTGTTTAAACTATTTCCTCCCAGCTTCATTAATTAATCATGTAGAGAACTTTTGAAGGATATGTAAATGTGCTAAGTTCATGAATGACTTGAATTTATGGTGTAGGATTTGGGAAATTATCTTCAGTTGAAATAACATTGCACGGTCCCATATCAAGCAAATTAATATATTGTGTTTGCAAAACAAAGTTTGTAAAAACTTGCTCTTTTCATCATGTTCTGCATCTCACATTCTGAGCAGAAGCTATCATTTATTAAAGTGAGGTACCTAGGCAGGTACCCAGAGTGGAGAAAGTAATTACTCACAAAATAATTGGTCAGTCGAGTTTCTACACATTACAAATGGCTAGAATTTGGTTAATGGCAGCGTGGTGGCAACCACTTCATTTCTTTTGATGCCATTCTGCAGGTGCTGAGGGTTCTTTTCTGGCAAAATGAAAACCCTTTGATGTTAAAAATGGTGTTAAGACATTCACCTTTTACCCCCACCCCATTTTTGGTAATTTAATCATCCACTGAAGCAGATCATTTCACTGAGGGGCTCCAGCCTGCTCACAGCACTTTGGAGATTTTTCTTACTTAACACTTTGTTCTGATTTATTGGTTCAGCACTGTTTTTCATGTCCCTGTCGGTTTATAATCATAGTTCCCATTAACTTCAGAATGGCAGGTAGTAGTGAAACTACCTGTGTGCTGTGTTTTAGCCATTGTGTAAGAAAGCTGCCAGGGTAATGCAGAATGGTGCAGTTCCCTCCCTCACTTGGAGTCACAAACCAACACAAGCAGCTTCAAAATCTGCTCTGAGGCACACAAATCAGTGGCCTTGTTTTGAGAGGGTGAGCACTGGAGGAGTTAGTCAAGATTTAATTCTTAAAGGTGCCAAAATCTGCTCCGAAGCACAGTAGTAAGCGGCCTGCTTTTGAGAGGATCAAGTCAAGATTTAATTCTTAAAAGCAGCTCTGTGAGGCCCCATGATTTGGACCTTTCAGGCATAAATCTGAAATCACAGTCTGACCTGGTGGCTGGGGTGGGTTCTCTCTTAGATGTGGTCCCAAGCATGAGGGAGGGCCGGGGCCTGCAGGTGGGTGCCGAGGAGCATGGTGGTGACCTCTGGTTCACACGGCGGCGGCGCGGCCTCGCCTTCCCCGCACGTCCCGAGTGATTTATGGGATCTGATTTGCTGCTGTCACTTACCCCTGATTTGTGAACAAGCTGGAATGAGCCTCGGGGAGAGGGCGGGAAGAGGACAGGGGGACGCTTGGAAGGAAGGTTTCATGCCTCCCCCTGCTCTGAGGGGCTGAACGCGCAATCTGCCGGCGCAGTTCTGTAACTCCTGCCTTACCCGGTCATCTGGGAGGAAGAAAAACTGCAAACTGATGGCAGCCTTGGAACAAGCACTTGAGGAGTTTTAGGGTTGTTGAGGTTTTTTTAACTATCTGCAGGTAAAAATCCTAGGGGTGGGGAGGGTGTGAGGAAGGAGCAGTTTGTGTCTCTGGCAGAGCGGGGTTTGAAACATTACGAGAAGGGAGCTCTTCGTGATAGAAACAATACAGGAGCTTTTCTTTTTAGATAAATTCGAAAATAAGCTTGAAAATAATTGATTTTCTTCTTCCTGGTAACTTATTTGAAGTTTTCAGGCTCTGCATTTGGATGGGCCATTGCTCTATCAAATTTCTGAGGTGGGGCCCTGCTTTCTTCTCCATGGAAAACCCTTGGGATGCCCCAAGGATTCCCAGGCGCTTCTCCACATCTTTGTTCCTCTAAGAGCGAGCCTTGCCACCATCCCTTGGAGCACCCAAAAACCCTTCAGGTGTCTGTGCCACCTCCCCTGGAAGCTGTGGAGAATTCAGCTGCTCCTCCTGTGCCTGTGGATCAAAATGTGGGTATCTCCACTCGAGGGAACCCTGGGCAGATTGAGTCAGTGCTTGCAGCAGGATACGAGGTTCTGGCATTTATTGGAGCCGGATACGCGGCTGTGCTTCATTAGTGAGGAGCCAAAGGGATGTGCTGAGTGATGTGCTATCTTTCCAATCATGTTAGTCCACATGAGACCTGCACAGAGCTGTTTATTCCCCATCCTGTTTTCATAACTGAGGTCCCCAGCTCAAGCTGAGGGACAGGAGATGCCAAGCTCCTCTCTTGGTTTCTCCATTTCCTTCCAACTTTGGCTTGAAGAAGCTGCTAATAAGACTCAAAAAATCAGTATTACTCCTCAAAAATTTACACCATGCTGGCAGTTTCTGTAAAACAGACAAAATTATTCATTTTTCCTGGGATCAGGACTGGGAGGCTGGGAGCATGTTGAAATTCTCTGCTGTCTATCTTGCAGCTACCAACATTGCCAACACACAATTTATTTTCTAATACTTCCTTGCAACTTGAAAATAAGATTGTCTACAAAAAATTTGTAGAGATCTTTTTCATACTCACCTCACAGTATGATTTCTGAGCTGAAACTCTGAGGAATCTCATCACAAACTTTTGGGGAAATTTGGAAAGAAAATTATGAAGGAAAATGTCAGCGCTAGTGCTGCTCCCACAAGCTTCATCACACGTGCGGCCAAATAATGCAAATAATAAAATACACTTTAATTTATCTACAGTTATTTGTGACTCAGGAAAGCTCTGGCAATTCCATGTGTGCAGGATTTGATGGAAAATCTGGCACAACTGTGGCGGCAGCAAACATCTCACTGTGCTTAGGTGAACAAAACCCCACCTTAGCGTGGCATTATCAGAGGTAGGGTGTGTAAACAAGGGATCAAAGTCCAGCCAGCATTCCCAGCCTGTGGAATAGGAAATGCCTGCTCTCTTCCATTTCAAATGAACTCCTCTAGACTAAAAAGTTGCAATTATCCAGGCAGCTCTGAGGGGATGAGTGAGCAGCTACTTTAGAAACAGTGCGGGTGTTAAGCATACACAGTTCAGGTGTTGCCTGCTGGCAGTTTTTGCGTGTTCTTTAATATTAATCTTTGTAATTTAATAGGCATAAATAGAGATCATAATTACCTTAAACAAAAATGCTTTTAAAGTTTTGTCTGGCACATTATTTTGGACTGTTTTTTTCCCCCTCTTCAGACTGCAAGCCATCCAGGCAGGATGGGAAATACAATACTTGGTGTCTTATATTGGGCAGCAGTAAGTTTCCCTGCTGAGGCGATGTCCAAAACTTGGAGAACTTCCACAAAAATCGGTTATTTTGGTTATTTTAGGGATAGCCAGAGTTCAGACTGTTTGGAAACCATTTCTGACAGTCAGTGGCATCTGCAAGTGTTTTATGGAGCGGTCCACTGGGATCTGGGGGGAACTTAGGAGGTGCTGTGTGCCTTAAAGCCAGCTTGCTAATTCATAAATAACCACCTGAGCAAATGGGAATGAGGGGAAACTTTTGCCCAATGCTGGAAGCAAAACACCTCTACTCCACCTGATGCTAACATGCCCAGGCTGCCCTTGGACAGACCAGCCCGTCTTGAGAATACTTTCCAAGACAATTTAAGACCCAGCCTCTCTCTTGAGGGAGTTAGAGTTTTCATGTGCTCCTGGAATCCTCTATTTTTTCCCTCTGCTGCTGCTGTTTCTAAGAGCTGAGGACTGGGGGGTGTGGAGGAAGCTCCAGGAGGCATCATAAACAGAACAAAGCACCCAAAATGGGGCCAAGTCCCTTTCTCCTTTCCTTTTCTTTTCCATCCTGACAGTGATGGCAACACTTCAGAAGGAAAAAACCTGCATCCAAATTGTCCCTTCCCACTTTTGGGATTTCCTTTTCGCAGCCAGCCAAGGCCTGGGGTTTATTTTTCCTCTGTTGCACCCCATTTGTGAGGAGGAAAATGCATCGCAAAGCTTGAGAGCCCAGGGCAGGGTTGGTACTTCCCCCTCTCACCTTCCTGCATCTCTGAACCTTCCCTCTTCCTTAGATGTTTGGGGAGCAGCTCAGGCCAAAAGGAAGAAAGGAGAAGCGTGGGTTTAATTTGGCTTATTGTTTATGGTAGATTGCCTAATTTTAGGTGAATGGCCATTTGTTATATTACCTGATGTGTATTTTGATACTGTAATTTGAATTAGGGGAGTCCTCCAGCGCCAAGATTAGCATCATAAAACGAAATAAAATAAATAAAAAAGGGTTAAAAAAACAATCAGCCAGTCCAATTAAAATTGTGGCTGTCTGGAGCCATGGAAAAAATGTAGCATAAACAGAGCTGCAAGATTTGCAGGGTGGAGCTGGCATCGGCAGCAAAGAGTGCAGGTATATACCTGTCTGCCTGATTTGGCCCAAACAACTGCCAGCGTGCTCTTTTTGGGGATCAGAGAACAAAAGTGAGGCAAACACCTCCGAGCTGCGGGAGAAGCCAATTCCAAGAGGAAAAGTACCTGTTCAAACACCCCTCCCCTTTCCTGGAACATCTCTCATCTGAAGGACTCTCAGCTCCCGTGCTTATCGGTTTATTGTCCTGCTCTCTGGCAATTAGTGATCCACTTCACCCCTCGCAAGCTCACATCACTGCTGAGCCAAACTGACAAGATAAACTCGGTGCTTAAAATTCCATTTCCAGTAATAGAAATGTACCCCATCCTGTCATTTTTTTTTTTAACTTTTTTTTTTTTTCTTGAAGTTATACAAAACACCACCATATTAGATTAAGCCTGGAAGGCACAAATTTAAAGGGTGAAACCTGTGTATCTAAAGAGAATGACAGCCTCTAGTTTTCACACTGTAGAATTTTCTTTTGACTTTGGCTCTCAGATTTCTTCTTTCTTTACAAGTTTTCCTTTTTTTTTTCCTTTGTCTGCTATTTTGTGTAATCAAGCCTTGAATTAGTAAATCACTTAAACATGTATTGTGCTGTAAGCTTATACTGGGGTTCTTTTGAAATCAGTGGGTATTAGGGTTTTCTCCAGGCGCTTCATTAAATCAAAATCTTTGTCCTTCTGTCTTATTTTGGTGGGGTTTTGCACCTAGCTCAGTTCCTAGATTTCGTGTCAGCATGGTGATGCCAAGTTTGCTCACTGGCAGTGATTTCTCCTGGGATACTTTCAGAAAACAAAAGTAAAAAGGACATGATCCTCGGACAAGGAGGAATTCCATCAGCATTCGGATTCCCAGATGGCCACATTGGCTCAGCTGGACACGAAGCTGATTTATAAATTGGTGGAGCACCCCAGGCTCTGCACTGTGTGAGGAGCAGCTGCTGTGAGATGTCCCTCCTGTCCAGTTGGGATGGCAGCAAGACAACTCTTTGCACAAAATTTGTTGTGTGCTGTTCCTTATCAGCTTGCAGAGCTCAGTGGTGTGTTTTGGGCCAAACATGCCAAAATTAGCAAAGATCTGGAGATCCCCCGTGTCTGGAGCAGTGTTGGAGGCTTGTGGAGAGCGCAAACTGGGGCTCGACTGCATGATCCAGCAAAATTTTGGATCTAATTGAGTGACAGAGCATCATCAAAGCTCAGCATTTTTCACTCCCTTTCCAAAATGCCTTCCTCATGCTCCCCTTTATCACTCTTCTCTGCATTGCCCTGAAAAAAAATGAGTGCTTATAAAAGAAAGACATAATCCTCTTTCTTCTCATTTGAATTCTTTGTATGAACCAAGTCAGCAAACACACAAACCCTCCTAGGAAAAGTCTTTCATGTAGGTAACAGTGGACTATTTTTTTATTTTATTTTTTTTTAAGAGGGCAGTCTGCCAGAGGGTGTCCAATATAAGCTTTTGTAGACAGCAGTTTTTCTACACAGAGCTGAGTTGACAGCTTTCCTCCTGGGATAATCACAATCTTCATTCTTCTGGGACAAAATTGCTTCTGACAGTATAAAACCCAGGACATCTTTGATGTAAAATCTGACTCGAACACATGAATGGCGAGACTACAGAGCCATCCCATTCAAGAGAAAATGTTAGTAGTGGAGGCAAGATCAGAGGTGCCAGCCGAATTAATCAAACTAGTAAAACGTGAGGAAGTATCAGTCCATAAAGCTGCCTAATAAATCCGAGTGCACGGCGCTGGAAGGGAAGTGCCTTTGGACACTAAGCTGGGTGTCAGGCTGGGGCTGGGCACCCTCTGTGTGTGTGTAGCCCTGCCCTGCTGTGCTACATTAAACATTCTGAACGTGCGTTTTTAACAAAAGTCTGCATCTCCAGCGTTTGTTGGCGCGGCGCAATGGGCAGTGCTGCGGCGTTCTCCCTCCCTCTTCCTTCTTTCTCCTCCTTTGGGATGGGGAGCTGCTGTCTCAAGGTGTGGGGCTGAACCTGGCAGGGTTGGCTCTGTTCCCTTGGCCTGACCTGGGGATGACAAAGAGGTTGTTGGGCACCACCACGTGCCCCTAAAAATCAGCCAGTTTAAGTTTGTAAAGGTAATTATGGTAATTTTTTTTCTCCAGGAGAAGACAGAGCACCAAGATGAGCAGCCAGTTTTCTGCAGAGGTAAAAATTAACCAACATTGCCATGTTCTTTCCTTAGATTTTAAAAACCAGGAGGGGGTTGTTTTCTCAAAGCTCAGGATGTTTTGGGATAAACAAAGGTGCAGTTAAAAAAAATACTAATTGTGGCATGTAGCCCAGGAGTATCAATACACCAAGCCTGGCTTCCCGCATTGTTTCCTTGCAAAGATGTGGAGATCGAGTACTGGAAACCAGAAAAGGCAAAAGGAGATGTTTCTGCTCCTGGAGACTTTAGGCAAGCAGAAGGAGGGAGGTGATGAGAGGGCAGGGAATGCTGCGATTGAGGGACCCATGTGTCCAAGAGGGAAGAGCTGGGTCAGCAGGTGGCACCAGCGCCCCATCCATTCATCCACCCATCCATCCATGCATCTATCTCCCGGCAGCAGCGCTCCACAGCCCGCCGCGTTTGGAAAATACCCTGTTTGCTTTCCTTTTTAGCTCGTGTGCAGTGTCACACGAATGCCAGACACTTTATCCGAGAGCTAAACTCAAGCAGCTGCTTCCAGTTTGGGCTGTGTCCATACACCTGAAGTGAGGAACAGTAAGGTCTCTCCTTTCTGCACCCCTTAAAGCAATAATGCGACATCTAACAGCCTTCAGCCTCCTAAAAAAAAAATAAAAAATAAAGTTTTAGATTATTTTTCATCTTGTTTTTTTGTCACATTCGCTTTTCCTGAGCACTCCTGCAAGAGCCCTCTAGAGAGGAAATAGAATTTAGCCTGGGGAAGACTGGAGAGGACCTCACCAGTGTATCCAAGAATCTGAAGGGAAGGTGCCAGGAGGATGGACCAGGCTCTGCTCGGTGGTGCAGGGCAATAGGACAAGGGGAAGAAACCGATGCACAGGAAGTTCCACATGAACATGAGGAAGAGCTTTACTGAGCAGTGACTGAGTGCTGGAACAGATTGCCCAGAGAGGGTGTGGAATCTCCTTCCCCAAAGATATCCAAAAGCCACCTGGACACAATCCTAAGTGGCACGCTCCAGGGGCTCTGCTTGGGCAGCGATTTGGACTAGATGACCTCCTAACCAGACCAACCTGTGAGATGGAGGAAGAGCCAGATAGGGAAAAAGCCTGCAGAATTAGCACAGACTGAGCAGGCACACACAGATTTCCCTACTCCTGCCAAAATTCCTGTAGCAGGTCTCAAAGTCCTGCTGATTTCCCTGTGAATCATCCGCTCCTCAAGCTCATCCAGTGCCTTGCTGACTTCTTCGCCCTTGGGTCTTCTGCAGAGGCTCCCTGCTCTCTCCACTCAGCCAGTACAAAGCAGGCCCTGTCTCTGTGGCTCAGCCCAGAGCAATTCCATCCCCATTCGGCAGAACACTTAGCCACATGCTTACCTTTAATTATGTACTTAAACCAGAGGCGTGTGAACTTGTGCTCTGGTCTCACGCTGGACAGCACAGAACTTAATGAGATGCTTAAAGTTAAATAAGTCCTCGGTGATTTCCTGGATCAGGACCTACCTAAATAGAAGATTACCCCACCTGATATTTAAAATTAGATTATGTTTAATTTGGAAATGAGGGCACTTCCTTGAAGTTACATCGATTTGCCATAAACAGTTCTTGGAGGCAATGCCCCTGGGGTCTAATCCAGGCCCCTTTCATCAGGCTCCTGTTGATGTCAGTGGATTTGCATTAGGTCCTGGGTCCCTGCAGAGGACAGGGAAGGAAGGAAGGAGACAGCTGGGATCACACCCTGTCAATTGACCCCCCTGGATGAAGGCTCAGCAGCCTCTTTTCCCAGAGCTGGGACAAGATTGCTGGGTGGGAGCCAGGATGCTGCAGACTATGCACACCCTCATCTCCCCTCTTTCACCCCCATAGCCCAAAATAAAAGTCATGGAGCTCAGAAGATTAATTAAAATATGCCCATTTTGCTCATGCAGACCAAGTTTGTGGGTCTGCTGTGTGATGCTTTTGCTGTTGGGATGAGGCAGGGCTGACTTATTGCCCACAAACTTAAAAACAGGATGGTGACTCCATCACCACACAGCTTTTGAAGAGCTTTTAGCTCTGTTTTCTTTAAAGAGGTGAAATGGATAAATCAACAAATAAACTTAATTAGAACAGGGTAATAAATTTGTACAGATTTACATGCCTCTGGATAGTAATATATCTTCTCACTTCAGTGGGGGGAAAAATGAGGGAAAAAATATGAGTTTGTTTTGGACACAAGTATCTGAATGGGATACTGGAACCATCTTAAAACACACTTCAGTGCAGCTAAGAGAGGAATTCACACATAATCTTGTGCCCAGATGTTAGGGTTTTCTTCTTCACACAAGACATCTATCATCAGAAAGGGGAAGCTGTCTCATTTAATTTGCATTCCAGGTTACTAAGGAATTTAGTTTGTTGCAGTAAGTCTGGGCAGTGTTTTGCTTAGCTACAGAAGCCAGAGGCAGATTGTATAATTTCCATTTCCTGATTATATGACAATCATAAGTGAAAGGGCAACACTTGGACTGTTTACTACTGGATGAGGAGTTTAAAGGGCTGTTTACAAAATTAGGGTTGTGAAGAGAGCGAGCTCCCTAAAACCAGCCTGCTCCCACCTCCTGTCCTGATATTATCCAGAAAGATCCCTTCATTTAAATCTCCGGTTTGTCATATAGCAAGCTTGAAACTTTGTAGCTTTATTTTATTAACATGAATATGCTTTGCAGCGTGTTTTAGGTTGCAGCTGGTGCCTGATGTGATTTGGTTCTTATCTTCACCTTGCAGTTCTGATAGATGAGAGTAGAGCCGAAGCTTTTCTCTGGGCCTAATCCCTGGAATGTCTCAGGAATAAATCTGCTGGGATCTCTCTTGTGGCACATCTGGTGCGCTCTCTGACATTTGTGGCAGTGCCAGCTACACAACACCCTTTTCCTTGCCTTTTTCCCCACTGTCCATTCTTTAGCTTTCCTGCCTTTTTTTTCAGCTTTGGCTCTCCTTTCCTCCATCCATTTCCAGGGATTTTGCAAAACCCAAAACATGGCTGGCAGCACCCAAGGTGAGGCATGGTGGGAGAGAGGGCTGAGCCAGATGGCCGCATCCAAAAGCTCTGAAAATGCTCAGTGCAGGGGCTGGATCCCAACGCCGTGGCTCGGGCCCACGTCCATAAAGAAGGAGAGAGAGGAATTAAACACCCTGTTCCTTCAGCTGACCAAGATATGATGATATTTCGTAATCATAACAGAGAGGGAGCGGTGGGGCCGAGCTAGGTCTTGGCTGCTGTGTGTCCCTGTGAGGAGAACAGGACAGGGCTCAGATGGGATGAGCACATCCTGGGCCGTAAGGCAAGCGCAGATGTCCCCTCCTGAGAGGAGCTCCTGGCAGCTGGAGGCTGCGTGCTGTTCACCAGGGAGCTGCACCAGCTCCAGCAGAGAGCAGGGGGTCCTGCTGCTCCTCAGCACCCCTCAGCAGCACGGCGGAGCAAGGCAGCCCTGCTCTCCCCACGCTCCCCTTTTTGCAGAGCTGATGGGTGAGTGCTGGCTTTTGGGGTGGCTCCCACCAGGTGCCAGCATCAGGGCTGTGCCAGCGTGGCAGTGGGAAGAGACATTGTCCCAGAGCTTGCCCCAGTCAGTCCTGGCTCGTGCCTGGCTGCCCACACTCCTGCTGCCACTGCGGCTCTGCCGGTGACGCTCCTGAGCTGGCGCTGGCTCCTTCCCTCCCTTCCCCTCCTGGGTTTTCCACTGTGACTCCTGTGCTGTGTATAGAGGAAGGTTCTGTTTCTTGTTCTTTTGCAATACTAGTAGCACTCGGTTTAAATTTAATTTTCTTCTTTTCAACAAGCATTTTTTTGGCAGTGCCTTCTTTGCCCTTCAGCTGTTTTAAATGTTTATTTCTCATTTTGCACATGTTTGACAAAGACAGCACTTACACAATTCCTCTCTGAATAATTCCCTTTCTCCCTAGAGCCAATAAAGTGAAGAGATTATAAAAGGAGACACTGCACTCCTGTGTTAGGCAGCCAGGTCGCCCATCTTGCCTCTCTGCTCCAGCAGGCAGTGCTGGGATATGAATCCTCAAACCCCTCAAACGCTGTTCCAGATCATCCCAAATGCTCTTCCTTGCACACCACCATTTTTCCAGAGGTACAAACTCTTTTCTGGGGGGGAAAGAAACCGAAGCACATGACCTGAACCGTCATTTTAAAGTCCATACCCACCTTTCTTCCTGTTCTGTAGGGCTTTGAGGTGTGATTAAATAGTATGTGCCCACCAAAAGTGGGGCACCTCTTGAGGCAGTCACACTTGCCAGCATGGTGAGGAGGGTGGACATTAGTGAGAATGATTTATCGAGGAGATAAATCATTTCAAGCCTTCATTGCTTTCAGACAGCACAAGCTACTCTGCACATGGGCAAACTGAGAAAAGTGTCAGCCTTCCAGTTTGTTATCTCATCCCAGTCACCAGTGACTAAATAACCAAGTATTTTCTTCAAGTCCTGCATTATTTACGTTTATTTAGTACACTGTTTGCACAAAAAAAAATGGTCTGGATAAAAGAAAACAATGATGTACAGTAAAAGGGGTTTTAACAGTGAAAATCTGTGTCAGTATTTAGGGTAAAATAATATCAAAATTTGCTCTAAGCTTAACCCAAGGTTAAAACTGATCTAGAAGGAGAAAATGGTAGAGAAATAGAACGGTTTGGAACAGATTTAATTCACTCAAATTCTTTGCAAATTTGGCAAAAATGTTCTGGTTTGGAATTTTAGCCTGAGCCAATAGCTCACACTACGATAAACAACTACTGCTTTTTTCCTGTCTGCAATTTGAGTTGGATGCATCCACCATTTGACTGCTTTAATTTCTTTGGAAGGGAAAATCTTGTCACCAGCCATGAATACTTGAAAATTGCAGCTGCCCCGTTTGCCACATTACAAATACAGGCTGCAATCCTGCATTGGCAAAACTCTCCTGAATTTCACCAGGCCCAGGTTTTCCCTCACGGGATACTTTGGTTCTTCCACCATCTATCTGGCTAATTGCTATAATGAGATTTGCAAAGAGCAAGCTTGAAAGTCAGCTGTAAAGTCTAAAGTGAGCTATTGCCTCAAATTCACTTTCCATGAGTGTTCTCACAGAGAAGGCCAGAGTGCTGAAACGTACAGGGAAAATGAACTAAACAGACCTGCAAACATCATTAAGTCCAAACTCCGTTTAGGGATCAAATTCCTTTGCAAAGAAGGAGCTTTTTCTTTTATTGCTTCAGCTCTGTGAATTTCATACCTCAAAACTGCCCATGAAAAAAATGAAAAACTGAAAACAGAGAAATAGGAAAAGGAATGGGTGATGTGACAGAGTTTGATCCACACATGTGAAAAAATGAGTTGTGGGCACCTCCCTCTCCAGATTTGCTACTGGACAGAGATGGGCAGCACCCCTCGAGCCCTCCCTGGGGCTGTTCTCCTCCATGCCCTGCATCCATGGGCACTGCACACCCTGCTTGGCTCCTGGTTCCTTGGGGGGATTCTGCTGCAATGCCTGTAGCTGCATGGAATCCAGTAATGACGATTTTTGCAAACCAATCTTGGTTTTTTAGGACAGATACTCAGGATATCATCTGCTTCTCTTGCTTCAAAGTGCTTTGACATCAT